AGTCCGGAGCGATAGAAGGACATTTCAGGGAGACCTCGCCAATAAGCTTCTCGTGAACCCCAAAAGCCTATACAGGTTTATGGCCGAAAGAAAACCGACCAACCAGGGAGCATGCAATCTAGTGGGTTCTGATGGGAAATCTCTTACTAGTCTTGAAATGGCAGAGACATTCAGCCTAGCCTTTCACATGCAACTAAACAGTAACGAGGATATTACCCCCACAGAACATCCAGATTACATCGCAAAACCAACACGCGAAAACCTCCTGGGTACATTTCAAATTATCCCGGCTATGGTACTTGCAAAATTGGGAAGGTTAGCTTCGGGAAAGTTTTCAGGTTGTGATGACATCAGACCATCTGTCCTGAAGCAGTGTTCAGAAAGTCTCTGCCAACCCCTAAGTGATCTGTTCCAACACTCCCTTGATGTAGGGAAACTTCCATGTGAATGGAAACGAGCAATTTTATCCCCTATCTTCAAGGGTGGTAACCGGTAGAATGCAGTTACACCAGTTGCTCTACTTCCAGTGATATCGAAGATATTGGAAAGTATCATTGACGACCATATGAGAAAATACTTCGATGGGAATAACCTTCTTCACGAAGCACAGCACGGTTTTAGGAGGGGAAGATCCTGCGTGACGAATCTTATACTAGCTTGGAACGATTGGACACTATCCTGGGACAATAAGGTACCAGCCCACGTGATCTTTCTCGACTTTGCGAAAGCATTCGACACAGTTCACCATGGTCTGCTCCTTCGCTGAAAGATCACTTAGGCGAGAGAGAATTCCGCACCAAAGTCAACCGCATCCGATCATCCTGGCACACCTCGGCATCAGGGGTTCCTCAGGGTTCTATCCTAGGGCCGTTGATGTTTTTGATTTTTATCAACGACTTACCCTCCCAACTAAACTGCTCTGCGCTTCTTTACGCTGACGACGTAAAGATTTGGAGAGCAATAAACTCATCGGAAGACTCAGACAGATTGCAGGCTGACCTGCAAACTCTGGGCTCTGGCTAACGGAATGCCTTTCAACCTAAAGAAGTAAAGTGCAACTTCATTCGGGCAGGGCACAGAGTGTAAATTACACCCTTGGTGGCCAGAATTTGAGTTGTGTTCAATCAGAGCGAGACCTAGGTCTTATTCTAACAGAAAAGCTAGACGCCAGTGGAAATTACTCGAGGGACGTCGCCAAAGCCTACGCAACTTTACACTTTATGCATAGGCAGCTGGGAGCTCTCACTCTCGAACTGTTCTTAAGGATATATAAGGCATATGTGAGGCCACACCTTGAGGTGCATAATATCATTGCACCCCCGCTACTCAAAGGGGATGCTAACATTCTAGAAAGTGTCCAGAGACGAGCGACAAAATGGGTGATCGGCCTCCGAAACAAATCATATGAGGAACGACTAAAGAAATTAGGTCTTTTCACTCTTAGTTACCGTAGGCACAGGAGAGACCTCATCACCGTCTACCAAATCCTAAATGACCAGGCCCACCCAAATAAAAGCATCCTGCCATTAAGTGACTATAGGCTTCCACTAGGTAACCCGCTAAGGATAGCACACCAGAGACCAAAGATTCGAGTGCGATCACATTTCTTTTCGCTTCGAGTTTGCCGCCTCTGGAACGCTTTACCGGCGGCCGTGACTACAGCGCCTTCTCTGGAAATTTTTAAGCGGAAGCTAGACAATCATGCAGAAATGCAAGGTTTGTGTCTCAATGGCTTATCCTCATAAAACTTGAAACCACACTGTCAATGGATAAGCGTACAAACTAAATCCCCACGACCTATTTTGCCTTCTCTCACTGTACCGACTACTCTATCTTTTCCTTAGGTTACCTTTATTATTTCACTTATCTCAACCCATATTATCTACACTACAACCTATTATTATAATTATTACTATTCTGCTTTTATGACTACACCGAATGACTAACGGGAGTTAGGTCAAACTCCATTCATGGCAGCAACACAGTTCTAACATACTGCATACTACAAACCACATCTCGACCAATCCCCGCACCACTCCTCCTGGAGTCTACCAGAGCTAAGGCAGTCGAGTGGCGGGACTTACTACGCAGAAGCTCACCGAAGATTTGGAACCTCTACCTCACAATCAAGAAGCGAGCTCAAAGAAATCACTGGTTTATACTAGCTCGTAATCAGGATATTGGATGACCTTGAACTCCAGTGGGAATTTTGCTTTCACGTTGTAGTAAGTGGTAAGTTCACAGTCTAAATGGTTTGGGGACGCGAAATGCCTTACCTTTTTCCTTTTAAAAGCAAAATCTGGCTTATGAATCTTGTTGGCATCAAGAAAACCTGAAGATTGCAGCATATTTAATTCTGAGCATGACGAACGATTGGTTGATCCGGGGGGTACTGATGACCTTCAAGTTACTATTAACTTTAAGGAGGATATATTCAACTGAGGAAATAGTATATTCATTAAGGCATATGTAAAAGCGTGTGAAATTACTTGTAGTCGGTTTGTTACACAGAAATGTTCGAATAAATATATGTTTTCACTAATCTAATGTCTTCAGCTAATTAAGGATATCGATAAAATGGTGCATGTCCACAGAATTTTGGAACAATGCATTATTTTAATACTGAGATAGTTTTATTTGTTGCATAGAATAAAGTGAGTTCGAATTTCAGTCTCGTCCCTTTGGAACTATAATTCAGCAACCATAATATATCTATTATTTTCTTCTTCATAGGAACAGTCTGAAGAGTATTTGCTGTTCTTTTGTACAAGTATAGTGTCTGTTATGATCCCCTCTCTCTTTTGATGCATATGACCTGCATGAGATGATATATGCAGTAACTTGTAATATAGGAGTTTCGATTATGACTGTAAGCTAGGTTTCGTGGTGATAACCCATTCGAAGAGTCTCAATCAAATCTGTTAGTTCCTTATCCATTTTTATCATTGTCATATATTTGTACGTTTGTGAATTGTTGACAGGAGAGACAACAGAAACCTTTCTGTGGAGGATTTTACATACGAATTTCTTTTGGGACATGACAATTTCTGAAAAATTGACTATATCCACTTTCTGCCTACGTTATTATGAAGTATACAGACTACGCGATTTTAAATTAATTATGTTACTAGTGCATTTGGTGTTGTATTTAATAGTGTGACTTCTATTAGTAATGGTATGGCATAGACGTGGCTTAATCAAATTTCCATTCGTATACATTTACGAAGAAACTTATATCCCAGTTTCTACTGTGAATACATGACCGAATTGTATGTCAACTGGTTTTTGTCAAACATCTTCCTGTTGAAGGAAGGTTAGTCCCCCCCCCCAGTAGTCTTAGTAAGTTGATGCTGTCATCTTTAGATTGTGGATATCCTTGTATCCAATGTCTTATTTTAGAAAAACGTGCATATTTTTATTTCTCATAAGTAAATTTAATAAAAGTATCTCTATAGATATTCTTTAACCATAGATGCGGTTAAGATATATTTCTGATGAATTTGCAGTGATTGGCAAGAAATCAACACAGAACACTACAGAAGTGGATTGGTTCTGGTTCTTGTGCTAGGAAATGACAAACAAAAGGTGATGTAAATGGGATATTAGATATATTGCACAATGAAACAATATTATTTACTGTATGATATTTCGAAACAATTTATTATCTCTAATCATATCAGTTTTAACTTCACAAGTGTTGAATCATTTCGCTTGCAGTGCTAGAATAGAAGTGATTCAGCATCTACCCGGATATTCGAAAAGTTTCACTACCCTAATGACGAATAAGAAGGGATATTGGAAACTAAAAAATGACAGTTTTGAAGTTGTGTTGTTACAACTGGTATGGTTACAGACAATAAATTGTGTTTGAAAGATTCCCCGGTAAATAATACTGTTTCATTGTGGGATATATCTGATAATAATAACAATAACAATAATAACAATTTCGCTTTATTCCAGAAACGGTACTTGTGGTACAGTGTGGAATTTTCAGCACAATAAATTAATATGTATGTAAAGGTGCAGTAAGTAAGTATGCCTGTAGGGGAATACTATGACAGAAATTATCAATATGTTTAGGAAACGGCAATGAGCATGTACGCTAAGCCATCGGAAAGTGTTTTAATTCACACTAAAATGAGCCCCTAACCATTAATTTTTAGCATCTAACGGACTCTATTAAGGCAGCCTACATGGCCCGGACCAACAGTTACAGGCTTCCTAGATTGGTGTTATATTTGGTTCTAACGCCTAATATTACTAAACATAATCACATTCATAAGATATTAATCATGGAGAGCTGCATTGGGTTGGACCTTTAATCTGAATGTTTATAAAATGAAATGCTCATGCTGTGTATATAAAATAAGGTTTTTGTAGAGCAAATACCGAATAAAAGTCGATAAAGCTAGGAGGTATGTAAGAACATTTATTTCCCTATTGGCCTAAGTACTGCATCATCAGGTTACAATCACAGTAATCAACGTCCTTTTCTCTACATGTTCGAATCCCAATGGTTTTCTAGCTGATATCAATCAGTGACCAAACCTGAAACAGATCAAATCCTTACAAGCTCCTAAAATAAGGAGACACATGAAGGAAATTTGAATCAGAATTGTAGTAAATTATTATACTAAATTACTAACTGTTTTGTAGATTATGCCAGAAGTTTTGAGTAGCTTTACACTTTTATTATTAACCGTCGCTGTTATGGTATTCTTCATTGCAAAATTTTCAGTTTTCATAATTTCAAAACACTGGGAACTTGGGAAATCAAACAGTGCTTCATAAATGCGGAAAATTACCATTGGAGAGTGCTTGTTTTGCGGTCCTTAATAGTTTAGAAATAGGAGCGTAAATGCAATCAGCAAATTAGTGGTATCTTGCTAGACATGTGGTATTCCACTATATTATAGCAATTACTGGTTGGTTTTCAGTCGTTAGTTACCGCATTATTATTGTTGTACACGAAAATAATCTCCTGTCTCGCCTGGCTAACAAGATTGAGTGTGACTGTCATACTGCTAAAACTCATCGCATACTAAATTTTGTTGATGAATAGACTGAAAGTAGTACAACAGTATTCACCGTCCTTTTGTCAATATAAATTTCTTACTTGTGCTGTTGTGTCATTTAATGTATTTTAAAAATGTCATGTATTTATTTGACTGCAATTTTCCTCCATTTACTTCTAAAATTTGTAGGAATCAATTAGTTTTCAAAGCATGGTTGAGGCTTACAAACTCAGATGTGTATTGTCTGGACACAAAAGTGATGTCCGCGCCATATGTTGTCCATCAGAGAGTAAAGTCGTTTCTGCTTCCAGAGATTTTACAGCAAGGACGTGGTGTATTTCAAAGTTAGTTATCTCCTATTCATGATCTTCCTATGGGTGATTTTTTCCCACCCGAATTTGTTTTCTAAATTAGTGTTTCATTCTGAATGTTAACCGAACAATAGTTGTTTTCTCGACTTTTTTCTGATCGGTAGCAGTTAAAGTTGAATGAGTGGGTTTTAATGGTGTAATAGATGCAAGTAGATATACTTTCGACTCATCTCACTTTATGTTTAATTTTACTTTTACCAATTCGAAATGAAAAATCCCTTAATGTCAACTGTATTTAAATTCATTTGTTTTAGTTTCTTTATAAAACGATCTTGTATTATGCAAATACGTTCCTTCTTTCTTTGTTAAAAATTCGTTATATGTATTTATTATATTTATGTATTCTACCAACCACCTCAAATTTCGCATAGTGTTTTTGATAGAAAATGATTGTGTCTACTTTTTGAAGAGATTCGAATTTTCACAGTATATTAGACAGATTCGTAGTCGGCATTCATGTTTCTTGCCGTGAACATGATGCTGACTTTTCTTTCATCACTGATGTTTTTTACTTTCTATTAGAAGCGTCACTCGTTTCGCGTTTTATCTAGTACACTTTCCCGTTCATGTTATTGAATATTTAAAGTGTGTAGTTCTTAGTTCCCAATCACTGGATATCAGGTTAAAACTATGGCGCAATCAAGCCCGTGAAATCGAGTAGTATCGTAAACCTCATATTATGTTACATGTAGTCCAAGACGTTCATCAGAATTCGTTACCGTTTCTGTTTACTTTCATGATATTTCACTACTGTGGGAATAACATTGCTTGAGTTAGATCAAGAGGACATGTCGGTACAACTAATATTGTAATAAGCAAGTTAGGAATAACTCTGGAAATAATGTATATGACGCATGTAACTTATTGGATCGACATATTTCGAACATTCTGATCACACACATACTCGTTATACACATTTGTGTAAAAGTACAGAGTACTTGACATGTATTTCCAGGGTCACTTACGTTGCATATGTAAACACACATAAATTTAAGTTGATAAACGCAATGAATGTGCTAACATCGTTCGGACTCTGTGTGAAAGTATGTAGGACGTCGCAGGCTTCGTTTTCCCTTTAAATACGGGCTTGTCGGTGACAGGATCTGAATGAAATCATCTTAAACTTTCTGGGACATCTGATTTGGCCTGCAGAATCTCTGTATTTACTATTATTAGCAATATTTTTCAGCTAGTTTCTTTCATTAAAGGATTGTATAACTTTGTTCAATTTCGATGCTCTCAGAATTTCTGTGAATATTGAATTTAATGTACATCATCTCATTTGGATTTTTTGTTACTTATCGGCTGAGTTAGATGATATAGTCTTTCGGATTTATACCGGAATTCATATTTCACTCATATCCTATAATCATGTGACGAACATTAAGCCTGCTACTTTGTTGTTTGCTTACTGATAGACTATAGAAGCGTGTCGTACAATTTTTTCAAGATTGTAACATAATTCGACAGATGTGCGTTTTCGAAAGTCATACCAACATATGATACAAAATGAGTTGATTGGCTATACTTTTTGGCTATGAGAAAAGACCACTAAAAGCTGAATATATATTATTAATAAATTAATAGACTTTCAAGAGTTGATTTGTAAGGATTAGATTTTTTTTCGAGTCCTACCACGGATTGATATCAGTTATAAAACCATTGAAAACCAGGGAGTACTGGGCAGCTGTTTCATCCTAGTTTGGAAATCATCGGCGGTACTCACTCACCCCAGTAGGTGGGTGAAAATTAATCTGATGCTCGCTAGTAACTTGCTACAGGACTGAGTTTTCCGGAGTTCTAGTGAGAAGTCTTGTCCAGTGAGGTTCATCCAGTCAAGTGGGAGGATGGATTCCCCGCCTATGACATTGGTTGGTGGTCGTGCTAAATCACGTATTGGTAGAAGTTAGAATTCATGGGTCATTGAATCGGGTCCTAGTGGCTGAACGGTATACGAGCTTATCTTGTAACCGGGAGGTCCTGAGTTCGAACCCCAAGGGGTGCGTGCTGCTGCTGATTTTCAAACTAGGATGAAACAGCTGTCCAGTACTCCCTGGTTTTCAATGTTTCTCTAACCGATATGAATCCGTGATCAAACTCGAAAAAAAAAATTAATAAACGTTTAATACAAAATTACACTCCAAAATGTGAAGAGCTGCTTGTTTATATACTGGACATCGTATTCACAAGAAAATGTAGAGATTATAGACTATTAAACTGTGTAAACTAGTCTTTCTGAACTTCTTGAATATGTTATTTTCATTTGATCATTATTTTTTGTGCAATAGAGAAAGCTGTGATGGCTGTGAAAGTTCAGTTCTTCTTGGGCACACAAATTATGTATCAGCTGTATGCTGTCAAGAGTTAGATGGGGAATACCATATACTTACAGGATCGCATGATAAGCTGATAAGAGGCTATAATTTTGAACTTGCAGAACCTGTTTTCACATTAGAAGGACATGAAGATACGGGTACGTAAAGCATACTTATACGTTACTAATTGATTTATTCGAATAGTGTGTACTTTGGCGACTGGACGGCATAAAACCATAATTAGTGGTTCCTGGGATAAGTTGATCAAAATCTGGAAAGAAGGGAAATGTATTGCTACTATTTCAGGTGAGTTTCAGTAGTATTCTTGTAATTTTTGTAAAAATTGAAATGATAATACTATCAATCATGAAAAATATGTATGTTAATATATAGTTAACGAATCCAAAGACGTGTGTTTTATCTCCTATTACACATTATGTTCGTCGTCTTATCTTCATTCTGATCGTCCTCTACTTGATAAGCATATGATGAAGTAGTTAGGACCACGACGCGGTAATTCGTTTTGTTTGTGTTAGTATCATCTATCTCTATTTCATTGACGCTTGTATTTCAACTTTGAAGTGAATTATTCCTACATATTTTCAGTTTGCCCTGTCGGTTGTACTAATTTCATTTAGCTTTGTAAAGGTACAGCTAGCTAAACGCCTTTCTCTTCATATTCTGAACAATAATTCATATTCTGGTAAATGATGTTAGCCTCCAGCTGTCGAACTGTGGTACCTGGGGTATGTTTCTACCTACAGTCAAGTTGATGAAGATGGAGAACATTTCAGTGTGTAGAAGATCAGAAACGTATCTTTGTTTAATTATGGCGGGGCATTTGTCTTACTGACCATATAAAGTTAGGTATTGATTGACGTTTGATCAGTCTACCCCCAAACTGTAGTGGTTGAAGCGGTATTTACCCAGGTCGTTGATACCTATTGTCCCATTGTAGTTAATATATTACACTTACCAAGCCTTGATTGGGTGGTTATCGAACTGGGAATATTGATTGGTTGACTGAATAATTATTTGTTACTAGCCCCAATTCTACCTGTCGTGAAGGCGAAGTTGTGATATAGGTTTTTAATTCTCTTAATTGGGGTATTTGTTTGGCCTTTGTCGACTACCTCTACCTGAACAGTCATTTGTCTAATCATGCTGTTTTTCATCATTACTGTTACTGCAGGTCGCTCCACTTTTTGATCTTTGTTATTGATAGAATAATTATTGTCGCTGTTATTATTATTATTATGACTAATTGCACAATTCATATGCACAACTTTATCATCTTATTAGCAAATCATCGTGATTGGTTTGTATATTCGTATTTATTTGTACAGTTGTGTATATTAGAGTTGAGCCTGATGAGATGTAGTTGGAAACAATATTATTCTCTTAAATATGTTCCAGTCGCTTCACCGGCAGGTGGTGGTTACTGCTATACACCGTGTTATAAATGCTGTAATCAGTAGATGTTGATTTTCTTATGTAAGCGAAGTCGATTGACGACAGTGTTATTTATTCAGTCACACTTATTGTTTTGTCTTTTTTAGGTCATGAAGCAGCAGTCTGGTGCGTACTCGTTATGTCGGCAGTAAATATCACCGGTAATGTTGACGATATGATTATCATTAGTGGTTCGGCTGATCGAACTGTACGTGTATGGTGTATACGCGGTCTTGATCAAGATGCAAATCCCCCGAGAGTATTCTTCTAAATATTTTAAAGGAGCACAAGGATTGTGTACGTGCCTTGGCGTGTATAGATGATTCACGATTTTTATCAGCAAGCAATGATGCCAGCATAAGAGCTTGGAACGCTTCCACAGGCGTATGCATAGCTGAATTTTATGGGCATACAAACTTTGTGTACGGATTGGCTACGTTACCTAGTTTTCCGAAATTCGTTTCTTGTGGTGAAGACAGGAGTATTCGTGTTTGGCCTATACCTCCTCCAACTGAATCTGTTCAGGCACAACAATTCAGTTGCCTTCAAACTATTTCATTACCTGTCAATCTGCATGGTGTGTGACTTTGGTACCAAATGGTGATGTTGTTGTTGGAGGAAGGTAATTATCATGTTTTTTCAGTATGTTCCCTATCTTTTAAATTAAGTCATTAATTAATAGCATGGCATATTCCAGTTGACTGCACGGTGCATCTTGTGCACGTAAGGTGACCATAGTTTCCCAATTAAATTTAACAAATCTTTAGTCATGATTCATGTAGATATCATGATATGTGACTGACTAATTTGTTCAATTAAAACCTTTGTAGCAGTTCATAGTCTTAAGTTGCAAGACGGGGGAAATAAAAATGTGAAAAAATTGACAGTATAATATGATATCATTTTGTTTTGCAGGTTCTCATCAACTGTGGACTACCTGAAATTACAATAGTCATAAAATAATAATAATAATTTTGCTTTTATTCCAAAAACAGTACTAGAGGTATAGTGTGGAATTTTCAACACATATCTACAATATTGCATCTAATTTCATCGCACATTTACAAGGAGTATTACAAAAAATATAGAGCAACAACAAAAACCAAAAGGAAACACCAAAAATAACAAAAAATGCAAATAAAAATACCAAGTATAAAGGAAGATAAACACCAATAATGAAAAATATTCCAGTATTTGGCAGTGGAAGCTATGATATGTGTATGCGTGGTGAACAGTAACAGCTATAATCATACAAGAAGTTATGAGGTGTTCTTAAGAATGTTTATAGCCAAGATGATCAGTTAATTTGATTGAACCACACTGAACAATCATAAAATAAACATTTCAGTTTTTTTATTGTCAGCACTAATACAGTGTTTGTTGTGGTAGTGTGAGTAATCATGTATAATACAAAAATTTTAGGATGGTGATAACGGTGTTCACGAACAAGATTGTCAGTTTTAACATTGCCGAACAAAAAAAAACAATCACAAAACCAATATTGCATGAAGGCTATTGACAGGATAATTTTGTAGTACTCATAGTGCTAATATAGTCGGGACCAGTAGATACACAAAAGAAGGAATAGAATAAAGAATAAAAAAGTAAGCCAAGATAATCTTTTTAGGTAGCTAAGTATGTTTAAGAAGGTTTTTCACTATAGAAAACAAATAAGAGAGAATATGGGAGAAATAAAAGGGCCAAAATTATGTTATTAATAACAAAGCAAGTCATAGGTTTCGCGCTTAACATTGTCTCTGTCACTTTGAACACGGTCAAATATGGTATCGTTGAGTTCCTATACTTGGTTGTACGAGCATATATTATTTTATACTGATTTCTGGTTCTACCTGATGAGATGCAAGGAGAGAATTGGGAATAGAGGGCTGTTGGGGGGTCGGAGAGTATGGTTTTAGACCATTTTTCGCATCAAAGATAGGACTTCAAGTGAACATAGATAAAACAGAAGTGATGACGATTCCTGGCCAACACCAACATCAACAACAACAGACAACAATCAGCCAGCATAAATGGCAGGAACCTGGAAGAAACAACCTCCTTCACCTACCCACCTACCTGGGAAGCATCGTTTCAACTGCAGACGGACAGAACTGACGAGGATATCAAAGCCAGAATCGGAAAAGCAAGACAAGCTTTCACTACTCTTAAGTCTGTGTGGAAGTCGACAGCACTCAGCATCAGAAATAAGATCCGGATTTTCAACTCCAATGTGAAGTCAGTCAGTGCTACTATACGGATCAGAGACTTGGCCAGCGCGTCGTAAAGAGCATCTCAAACAAACTTGAGACCTTCATTAACAGTTGTCTTCGCTTAATACTTCACTCAAGATCAGATGGCCGGCCAGAAAAGATCAGCAACAGGGTGGAGTCTCTGGCAATGAGCGAACCAACACAGCAGGAACCGATTGTGAAACAAATAGGTAGAAAGAAATGGAGATGGATTGGCTGGCCATACTTTGAGGAAACCATCAAGTGAGTGACATCACTAGACAAGCCATTGCCCGAGTGGAACCCGAAAGGGAAGCGGGCGGCGAGTTGGTCGTCAGTGGCAGGGTGGGGTGACTTGGAGGAGGTCATGTGAGGAGGAGATGAAAGAAAGCATGTGGGTAGACTTGGAGCGGGGTGAAAAAGTTGGCAGAAAACCGAAGGCAATGGAGACGCGCGGCTAAAGTCCTATGTTCCTCTAGGAATTAAAGGATATAATAATAATTCGCATATATTCAGATGCTTATCTACTAATGTAGTGACGAGCTGACTGAGTTTTACACCACTAGTCCTACTAACTACCTTCAACATCCTTCTCAGGATTGTATAGTCCTTTTTCAGTAACCCAGGAAAGACTAATGGGGAGCAGTAAAGTATAATAGGTAAGATACGAGAGTTGACAAATTGTGAAAGCAGAGGTTGAATGATTCCAGTTAGTTTGAGTTTCTTAATGTAGTAGGTTAGACGAAACACTTTCTTGGAAATCGTTTGGATATGAGATGACCAAGTAAGGTCGGAAGATAGAACTAATCCGAGGTATTTTGCATTAGACTTTGTTTCAATTTTAGTCCCCTCAATGCTACAGGCTTCATGAGTGCTTACTAGTGTTTGTAGATCTCGTTTATGCCTAAAGGAGAAGTCGACAGTCTGGCATTTTGAGGGATTCAGCATTAGGCCATTTAGTTTAGACCACTGACTGATGTCCGACAGGAAGCTATTTAATTTGAAGCAGTCTGACTGAGACTTAACGGGAAGCGAAACAGTCAGGTCATCTGCATATTTGACGAAGTTGATTTCGTCTGAGAGAGGTAAGTCATGTAAGAAGAAGGAAAAGAGAAACGGCGAGAGAACAGCACCCTGAGGAACACCAGCTTCAGTAAGCAAAGGAGAGGAAGCTACACCATTATATACCGTGTACTGCATCCTATTGGAGAAGTAAGAGTGCAGCCAGTTGATAGCCCAGGACTCAGTTTGTGTAAGGCTAAGCTTGTTTAACAAAAGGCCTCTAGGTACAGAGTCAAAAGCAGATGTGTAATCAAGGAAAGTACAACGGACATACTTGGCCCCTTTGTCTAAGGAGGATACAATGTTGTGATGAAACACAGCAGCAGCATCCAAAGTACTTCTACCCTGTTTGTAAGCAAACTGCTTTGGATCATTTGAGAAGCTTAGGGAGGGAATGAGTTTTTGTAACAGTAATTTCTCCATCAGTTTCAAAAAAGGAGAGGTAATGGCAATTGGTCTAAACTTAACACTATCTCCAGAACCAGACTTGGGTACAGGGATGATTTTAATATCTTTCCACAGAGAAGGTACAACATTATTAGAAAAAGAAGTATTGAAAATGCTTGTAAGTGGGTTACTTAAAATATCAGCACATTTCTTTAGAACAATGGCAGGTATACCATCAGGGCCTAGACTCTGGGAAGGTTTAAGAGATTTCAAACATTTAAGAACATCAGAAGTATTGAAACGATGAAAGTCACTGGTCGTGTTATTAGTTAAATTGAAGGCAGAAAGGACATTTGGAGGGCGGATGAAAGATCTATTGAGAGTATTTACATCAATAGAAGAGGCAAAATTATTATGCTTACCACAACCAGTAATTTCTCTAAAAAGCTTCCATATGTTTTCTGAAGTTTTACAAGATAGTATTGTTTGATTATAAATGTTGTTTAGTCTCTTGATTTCAGATTTAATTTGGGTGTTTATCTTCTTAAGACCAGATTTATTCTTTGTCTTGTACAGCTTCTCTTTTTTTCTCGAAGTTTTTTGAGATGAGGGGAAGAGAAACGATCCATTCTTTTGAAAATTATCTGTTTTGGACAGCATATATCAAGACAGAATTTAAGATAGTCAGTCAAATTGGAAATAGTATCATCCAGTTTGTGTTCGTTGAAAAGTTCCCAGTTAGTGTCATTTAGCATACATCTTAGTTTGAGCATATTTTCTTGTGAGTAACACCTTTGCTGTGTTTTCTTGGACAGATTTGAGAAGATATTAAAGTGAGATCTGCTGTATATCTTAGGTAATATCCGAATAATACAATGATCTGAGTTCATGATAGGAGCACGTCGGCGTACTTCATATATTTCCTCATCATTAATGAACACTAGGTCAAGAGTTTTATCAAGTCGAGTAGGGAATTTAACAATATTGGCATGACCTAATGATACGAGGAAAGAACAATCACAGCAGTTAAAATCTCCTGTGACAACTGATAAAGAGTTTTCAAGATGTGTAACGGCGAATTCAGTGAATTCATCAGCAAAATCAGATAGATCAGATGCAGAACAGCCAGGAGTAACATAAATGTTAGAGATGAAGACGTATTTAAACTTGGATAAGTGTTTCGGGCGGCATTTGACCGTTATACAATCAATAAAGTCATTAGAGAAAGAAAAACATACATTATTTGAAGTTGACCATTGAGAATGAATGAAAGTTGCAACACCTCCACCTCTTTTCTTTCTGGAGCATAGTCGATCTTGTCTAAACAATGTAAAACCATTTAGGGAAACCAGATTGTCATCATAGAGTTCATGGAGCCATGTTTCTTGTAATGCAACAATCGCCGTATTGTAATAAGTATCAGATGATAAGAGAGACTGGAGATGCATAATTTTGTTGGGAAGTGAACGGCAGTGTGAACTGACAATAACAGGAATAGTTGTGCAATATAAAGGTGTCTGTTTAAGAGCTCGTTGCCAACCACCGTGATGTTTTCTCTTAGTTTTATTAGATGCATGAAAGTCATATAGTTTGAAACGTTTAATGAATGAATTACTGTATTTTATACGATTTGTGACCATATTTTATTAAAATTAAGAGTGAAAACATGATGTATTAGATGCAATATGTAGATGCACGGAAAGGTAGTTCAGATGTCAAACAGGCCGCGAATTCGCAGAAATCTTCCGTGTTGTGCTACTTCTACCCGCCTTGTTGTGTTTCTTTTTCTTCTTTTCGTGTCTCCCGTGTTTTGCTGCAACGCTGAATCATTTGCTGTCTTTGACGTCAAATTTACCTCCCTTCTATTTGATATTTTTATGGTAATGAACGTCTCTTTATATATTACTGATAAATCTTTTCAGTAACACATGCCACAAATGTTTCCTCCTTGTACTAATATGTCGAGTGACGAGTAATTGCCATCCTTGAAAAAACATTATATGTATATATGCGCAGTAATAATGCTTCTGCGCCGATAAACATTTTCTCCGTGTGTATCGGTAAAATGAATTTTATGCTCTACTTTTAAAATTTGTTTTCTTTCAGTGATGCGATGATTCGTATTTTTTCATCTGATCCAAAAAGACAAGCTTCCCAGGATGTACTAAAGTTATACGAGTCAGAAGTAGCTAATTTCAAAATCACACTTCCTAACTCGGTAGGAACCGGAGACTTAGATTTGAACAAGTTACCGGAATTGATGCTTTAACAAAACCAGGTACGCTGTACATATTTTCTGATACTTACTGGCAACCACTTTTATAAATTTTTGGTTACATTTACGAATATGATGGTATTAGTAATTGAAAAATGAGAATGAAAAAATTTAAGTAAGATTTGTGATACGAAAAAACGTAGAAATACATAGTTTTCAAGATTCTAAGAAAATTCAGACTTTGATGATATTAAATGATTGGAGGCAATCGGCAGGGAGCCTTGGACCTAAGTTTCGTGCTAGTTGGCACTCACCAGTCAGCAAGGCGTATCTGCAACCTTGAAAGAACTCATGTCCCGCGTCACCTGCACCTATATCAGCTAGTAATGCCCGTCAGGGGAGGCGATGGTTAGGCATGTCTGTCTGTTTTCGACATAGAACTTTGCACATATGTGCGGCAGTTCAAGTCGCCACACTCCCTCCTTGTAGCACACAAAGCAAGAGAAGAAAGTACAAGAAAAGCATAATCGAAACAGTAAACAGAGGTGTGAGACAAAGGAAGAGTAATAACGAAGAACAAAACAGTTTCATTGGAGATCATAAGTCACAAGGAGTGGATGCATCTGCGCGTCGGCCACTGAGAACGATTTTGTGCCATGTCACCAATTGTTTCCAACTACTGGTTTTTACCGTCCCGAGGACTCCAACCGGTCAGGAAGTCTACACCTTCCTACCTGGCTTAGACTAACTGTTGTGGATTTCATTGACTGGTGCCAAGTTTTGTTTGACCGCTGCTAGCTTTTTTCCAGCCTGACCCTATATCCGCTAACATTGCTCGTCGAGGGAGGCGATGGCTTGGCATACGTAACACATGTCCTAACCATCTCAGTCTTTGTAACTTCACGACTTCGTCGATTGATTTCCCCTGTTTACCTAGAACTCGACGTCTAACTTCAATGTTGCTCACCTTATTATGCCACTTTACTCGGGAGATAGAAATTAGGGCTTTTCAAATCCCTTACTTAGAAACTCTCATTTTCCAGGAGTTTGATAATAAGTGCTGGATATTTGTATTCACTTTTTCTTCCTCTGTGTAGACAGTAAATAGGATTCTCTGGCAAAGATAGTTGTTACGTGCATCACAATATTGATTTGTCTTATAGAAATAGGCTCAATACGTTATCGTGGTTCACTTCTGTTAACACTTTAAATTTGGCATTCTAGGAAAGTCAGAAGGACAAGTGATGGTGATTAATGACAATGGACGTTCTGTTTGCTATCAGTGGTCCTCACATGAAGTTCGCTGGATTGAAGTTGGCGATGTTGTAGGAAGCCAGCCGTCTAATCGTCAAGTATACGAAGGAAAGGTAAATTAACACTTATTGTTTTCTTATCAGTTGTCAGTATTGGATATTACTTCATAGTACTTCAGTTCATGGCAAAACGTACTGTCTAACGAAACTGAATTAACTAAGAAGGTACACAAAGATATAAGAATAAAACTTGTGCACTGTGGTAATCCCATTATAGGTAAAATTTATTTTGATAAAGTCTTACAGTGTTATACAGTAATGTTTACTGACGACGTTTCGAGCACAGTTTATTGCCACTCATAATCATATCAAGGTATTCACACAACTTTCTAACTTCGTTTATATAGTTCCATTATTTTCCATCGTTTGATTTGATTGGTAGTAGCATTTTCCATATTTCCAGTATGGGTGATGAGTCATTCCTATTCCACGTATTGTATTGGGTGTAGACTCGATGAACAAGGATTCAGTAATCAACATCTCTCGCTCTCCACCTACCTAGATTACTTTTTAGAATTTTAACCCTCTCCCACCCTATTGTGTGGTTGTGTGTTAGCGCATGCATTGCAATTGCTGAGCTTTTTCCTAAATTATTTATCTTCTCGGGGTCAACCATTCTTACCTTAACTAAATTCTTATGCTCTGACAATCTGACTACCCCCTACCTACTAGTTTGACCTATGTAGTTGACCTCACAGTCATTGCATGGTATTTTGTAAATAATATTATTTTGTCTAATTGGGTCAACCGACAGGGTCCTTAAACCTACAGAGCTTGTCCCTGAGTGAGTTTGTAGGTTTAAATGCCACTCTAATTCCTGCTTTATTCAGAATCCCACGTAGGGTCTCAGATGTCCCATCCTTCTATGGTATATTTGTGGATGACTTATATTCTTTCTTATTTATGTTATTATTACTAGTTTCACAATTATTTTTATTTTGTTTTTGGCCTTTTATGATCTTCCTAATGAATTTTATAGGATAGTTATTCAACACCAACGCTTCTTCTATCTGTTTTAATTCATCATTTAGATCTTTTCTTGTGCTACTTCTCGGTTTGTTAAACACTTAACTAAGCCTGCCTTAACAGTTAACGGATGAGACGAATTAAAGTCTAAATATCTATTAGAATCTGTTGGCTTTTTATAAACACTAGTGTGTAGTTTGCCTTCTATTCTTTTTATTTTACAATCTAACATAGCTAATTCTCCTTGTTCATTTTCTGATTCAAATGTGAATTTTATTCCCTCTACTTGTGAGTTTATATGTGTCAAGAAGCTAGAGATGTGTTCTGTTTTTAACACTGTGAAAGTGTCATCCACATATCTCCACCATATTTTTGGAGTAAGATTAAATGTATTAAGAGCACTATTTTCCCAGCTGTCCATAAATATGTCTGCTACGATAGGGGATATTGGTGATCCCATTGCTACACCTTCTGTTTGTCTATATATTTTGCCTTGGAACTTAAAGATAGTAGATGTGAGGCATAACTGAATCCCTAAAATAATTTGTTCAATGGGCAGCTTTGTTCTATGATTGAGTGCAGGTTCCATAGTTAGTTCTTTTTTAACTGCTTCTAAGGCCATATTGACTGGTATATTAGTATAAAGACTAGTTATATCAAAACTAACCATTTTTTCATCATTCTCTAGTTGAATGTCGTTTAGTTTATTTTTCATCTCATATGAATTAGTTAGTCTAGAGTTTGAACGATTTCTAATGGGGCATAATATTAGAGCTAAGTGTTTTGATAATTCATAAGTAGGGATATTTCTAAAATCTACTATTGGTCGTATAGGGTAACCTGGCTTATGTACATTAATAGTACCATATATTCTTCTAGCATTATTAGTTTTAGGCATTAAATTAAACCATTTTGACTCACCCAGTGACGGCTTCATTCGGCGTATTAATTAGGGTACACAGATTGATGACTAGAATTCTGCTAGATGACATTTGCATTCGTTCCTTATTATTCAGTATTCATGAATATTATTCAGTCGCATATTATGCTGATGGTTATTAAGCTAAAATATTTCCTGAATACTTGATGAATGCCAACTGACATCATTTAGAGATTTACTGGAAAACGTAGTCCGTTGGGTAGCTGTTGCGTTCTAGTTTGGGAATCTTCGACATATTACACTGGTGATGTCTCTAGATTTTGAATCTAGGACCTTTTGATTATTAGGCAATCACACTTCCATTTATCCACTCACTTGTGGCATAGATTCTGACATGTCAGTTTGCAAGAATGCGCTATTATCAACCAACATGTTACACCAGTGAGTTTTTGTTGCTACACTCGACATTTTCGAAGTTTCAAATTAAAACGTCAGAAAGTCTATCTCTCTATGGTCGTCACTAATATGCGGTGAAATTACATTCACATAATGTGTTACTTATTTCAAATCCCCACAAACCTAACTTGTGAACTTTTTAAAATTGTTTTCTTCATATTTTTTCTATTCAAGGAGTACGATTTCGTATTCACTGTTGATATAGATGAAAGCATGCCACCGCTTAAACTACCATACAATCGTACCGAAGATCCATGGTTTGCGGCTCATTCTTTTATTCAAAGAAATGACTTACCTGCTGGTTATCTGGATACTGTTGCTAATTTCATCATTCAAAATGCAGGACCACAGGTTGGTTCAGGTGTTGCTAGTGATTCATCATACTGCGATCCTTTCACTGGAGCACATAGATATATCCCTCAAAATCCATCGGCAGACAAAACATCCGTTACAAACACTACTTCATCACCCCCAATACTTTGTTTCCCGTCAGAAACGTTTATACCTATTAAAGCAATCAGTCTTGGTCCATTAATGAGTAAGCGAAATTTTCGGATGTGTAAATTTTGCTTTTCATAAGGTATTGGTGTTCTTATAGAATATATTTCTGCTGTTTTTGCATTTATTTGCGTTTCGAACGAAACATTCGGCTTTAACGGCAAAGTTTAAGAATAATAGCCAAAACCATTGTGACCTTGAACAGCCAATCAGAACTCAGATGCAGAAGAGCCGCATAATCGTTGAAAAATATACTAAAAATATTGCAAACTTGATAATACACTGTATAGTTGTAGCTTATGTGTTGAATGAATGTCTCCCAGTCAATTCACACATGATCTATAGGGAAATCGTACCATTCATCCAGTTGACTGTAAGTCATGGTACTTTGAGATCCATTGATATTTCTGTCATTATTCTCCAACCTACTCCTAATTCTGTCCATAATCCGAAGGATAACCCTAAACCTCATTCTTAAAAGCCATAACTCCACCTAACAGTGTAGATTTGCAGAAAAAGTATCTAGTAAGTAAGTAAACGACTGTATATATCCTCTCCAATTCCGAAAAGGCAGGCATGATTGGATTTGGAATGATATTTCATACTATTCCCTGTTTGTGATCGGTTCTTGAAGGTCAAACTTTAAAAGACCTTGACTTTGGCTATGATACTTTAACTTCGCCTCTCTAAGCTTTGAAGTTTCAGTAGTAATATTGATGTTTTTGCGGGATAAGGTTGTTAGCTTCACGCCTAGCCTCTTTTGAAGGCTTTTTAACGGCTAGATGATATTTAGGAGTGCGTCGACCGGAAGTCGAACCCAGACCTCCCGCGTTAATGACAAGCATTATTCCATTTCTTTTGTCAGCATTGCCAGTTGTGTTACTTATAGACTGTAATGAAAAATGGTGTTAAAATTATATAAGTATTGTTTAAGAAGTTTCCAGTTACTGTCAGCTAAAGCTTGTGTATTATTTCCAATTTGTAGAAAGACTATCAAGTTGATTAAGACCACATGCATCAGTAAATCTCTGGTGAAACTTAGCAAAAGTAGAGACAGTACTTCCAGGTTTTGCAATGGTTTTCTAACCGAAGTCAGCTCATGATGAAATCCTGTAACCAATCAATCAAATCCCTACAGACCGATACTTGAGGACACGAGACATCTTTGATGCATATCACAGGTTCGAGTCTCAAAAAATAATATGAACCATCGTTTTCTTTAAACGTACTTCCATTTATTCATAATAACGTTACTACGTTATTAGCAGGTGTGTAAGACGACTGTCAAATAAAATAAGCTCTTTTTTCTAATCATGCAGATGTATTCACTCTTTCCGTGGGCAAATTTATCAAGGAAGCACAGTGTATGAATTTCTGGTCTTGGATAACTTCATAAAATCCATCTATGCGTAAAATTAACATGATTAATATAATCTCAGTTTCAAGTTTAGCTGATTATTGTATTCTTTAATCTGGTTGATTTAATTGTGAAGCTTTCGTTCTCCTCCTAGACAACCAACATCTTCCTTCAGTTCAGGTTTTAGTATAAAATGGACTTATTTAAATCCTCCATGAATGATGCAATTGTATCTCCTAGCAACCACTGTCGTGACTGGTTGTTAATTTATGTGCCTATTGGTCGCTTTTATTCACTTGGAATTCGAACTTTCTTGTCATTTGATTTGTGATTTACTTTCTATTAGCTGATAAATTTGGTCATCAAATTCACAAGAGAAGAAGAAATAGACAACGAAATCCCATTTTTAGATGTCTTAATCAGGAGAACATAACACACGAAATTTAGAAACACAAGTATATAGAGAATCAACTCACACAAACCAAATACTCAACTATATTAGTAATATCCCAGTTACCTACAAAAGAAACTGTTTACAGACATTGTTTAAAAGAGTTGAAACACACTGTGGCACTCCGGTGTTGAAGAGAATAGAGGAAAAGAGCCTACTTAACCGTCTTCAAAAAGAATGGATATCCTCACAATTTCATCAAAAAGTGTTTAAACTCGAGTCATTTCACCAACAACAAGCCATCATCAAAGCATACAAAAAATTCATTCTGCCATATATAAAATATATCTCTGAAATAACAGCTACAATATTAGGACTAATTGAAGTAGATATAGCACACAAGTCAGCCAGCACAATCACTTCATGCGATATTGTGTAAACCAATCTTTATCCTATAGAAAAAGACTGAAAAGAAAAAGACTGCACTACTCGCCGATGCCTTTTCGTAATCTCCGCCTACGCCCCCACTGACTGCAGTTCAGATGAAACGAAGGATGAGTTCTACCAAAAGCTGTCTAGTTTGGTGCGAAAGGCTAAACGCTCAGACATAGTCGTTCTAGCTGGTGACTTTAACGCTCAAGTAGGGAAATTGTGTCAATCTGAGAAGGATGTCGGTGGCACCTATGGAGTTCCGTGCCAGCGAACCGACAACGGTGACCGTCTCCTACAGTTCTGCTCTGATAATCATTTGTTTCTTGTAAGCACTAACTTCAAACACAAGGAGAGACACTGTTTGACTTGGAGACCCCCTTCATCAAACCAACGCTGGACACAAATAGACCACATAGCAATAAGCTATCGTTGGCGTGGGTCGGTAGGAGATTGTCGCTCCTTCTGGAACACGTGCGTAGATACCGACCATGCACTGGTCCGCGCTCGGGTGTGCTTACGACTGAACGGACGTAGGAAACAGCTGGCGGTAAAACCATCACGTCCCCAGCTCGATCAGGAAACTAAATCCGTATTTGAGGAAGAACTAGCTAAACACATATCTGTGTTCGACAGCTGTGCTCACCCTGAAGAAGCTTGGAAAAATATCCAGGCAGCCATAGATACAGCTGTAAAAGCTGTGAATAAGGTAAACCCAAAGGTGAGTAAAAACCACTGGATCTCCACCGCCTCATCCGAACTGATAGATGCTAGAAGACTTATTCCGGCGAGCTCCGAATTCAATGAGGAGCGAAAGCTGCACAAGAGGAAACTTACGAAAAGTCTCCGCAAGGACCGTGAACAGTGGTGGGCGACAAAAGCCAAAGAGATGGAGAAAGCTTTGAGGATAGGCAACACCAGGCAACTCTTTGGACTCATCAGGGAAACGGGTGGGAGAAGACAAATCATTAGTGAGACAATCTCGGAAAAAAATGGCACTATAATTAGCTCCAGGATAGACGACTGGATCGTTGGAAAGAGCATTATGAGGAGCAGTTTAATTTGCCCACAGCCACGCTCAACCTTCCGAGCATCCAACACCTCCCTGAATGGGATATAGACACAGGTCCTCCGTCACTAACTGAGGTTACTAAAGCTGTCACCAATCTGAAACTAGGCAAAGCAGCGGGACCTGATGGAATGACTCCAGAGGTATTTAAGTACGGTGGAGACAGCTTACTGTCTGGATTAACTGAGGTACTAGGCAGCGTCTGGGAATCAGAAGAAGTCCCATCGGGTTGGTGTAAGTCACTGATTATCCCCATATACAAGAAGGGAGACAAGTCTTCCTGTGATAATCACAGAGGGATTAGCTTGACTAATATAGTATCTAAAGTCTTAGGCTCAATAATCATGCGTAGACTGAGTGGTGCTCGGGAAGCACAAACACGAGAGAGCCAGGCAGGCTTTAGACCAGGAAGAGGGTGTATTGATCATATCTTCACCCTCCGACAGATTCTAGAACATAGGCATTCCTACCGGCGTCCAACAGTCATTATATTTCTTGACCTAAAGGCAGCATTCGACTCTGTCGATCGAGAAGTTCTCTGGAGATGCTTGGCTGTAAAGGGAATTCCGAGAAAATATATTGCACTGATTAAGGCACTCTACTCGTACTCATACAGCCAGGTGAGGGCTTACGGCGAGCTGTCATCTGAACTGATGACGACCAGTGGTGTCCGTCAAGGATGCCCATTATCTCCTTTTCTATTCAACTTCATCATAGATGTGTTAATGGACTTAACCCTAGGTGACTTCAGCGACTCAGGGATTGACTTGCTACCGGGAATAATCTCGTTGACTTGGAATATGCAGACGATATAGTCCTTCTAGGCGAAGACGCTGACGAAATGCAGAGTCTTCTAAACACCTTGAGCCGCAATCTACGAATGTTTGGCATGCGATTCGCTCCCGCCAAATGCAAGATGATGTTACAGGACTGGACTACATCGACGCCTAGTTTAAAAATAGGAAGTGAAGTGGTAGAGCACGTTGACCGCTTCACTTATTTGGGAAGTACCATCAGCCCCAACGGGCTGATCTCTGACGAAATCTCAGCACGAATACAAGGGGCTCGTTTCGCATTTGTTAGTTTACGCCGACTCTGGCGTAGACGAGATGTTCGACTATCGACCAAAGGGCGGGTGTACTGCTCATCAGTCCGCTCCGTCCTCCTTTATGGTTGTGAGACCTGGCCACTGAGAGTGGAAGACATGAAAAGACTAGCTGTCTTTGATCATAGGTGCCTGCGTTCTATTTCCCGTGTAAAGTGGCATAATAAGGTGAGCAACATTGAGGTTAGGCGTAGAGTTCTAGGTAAACAGGGGAAATCAATCGACGAAGTCGTGAAGCTACAAAGACTGAGATGGTTAGGACATGTGTTACGTATGCCAAGCCATCGCCTCCCTCGACGAGCAATGTTAGCGGATATAGGGTCAGGCTGGAAAAAAGCTAGCGGCGGTCAAACAAAAACTTGGCACCAGTCAATGAAATCCACAACAGTTGGTCTAAGCCACGTAGGAAGGTGTAGACTTCCAGGCTGGGGTCCTCGGGACGGTAAAAATCTATGGTTGGAAACAATTGGTGACATGGCTCAAAATCGTTCTCAGTGGCGCAGATGCATCCACTCCTTGTGACTTATGATCTCCAATGAAACTGTTTTGTTCTTCGTTATTACTCCTTTGTCTCACACCTCTGCTCACTGTTTCTATTATGCTTTTCTTGTACTTTCTTCTCTTGCTTCGCGTGCTACAGGGAGTGTGGCGACTTGAACTTCCGCACATTTGTGCAAAGTTCTATGTCGAAAACAGACAGACAGACAGACTATAGAATAAGAAGAAATTAATGGCATTTACACAATAAACTATATGAACTGCAATAGACATTACATCGGCCACAGTGAGCGTCCCCTTCAAATTCATATCCAAGAACACAAATTGTTTGTAAAATGACATGATTTATATTTTTCGTATCAATGCATATGAATAATTATAGGCATCACTTTGATTGGGATAATGTAGAAATTTTGAGTAGAGGAAACACCAAAAGTGCCAGCGAATTCCTAGAGGTCTGGTACTCAAGTGAATTAGCGATTAACAAACACACTAATTACCACAGACCATATTTATCAGCTAATAGAAAGTAAATCACAAATCAAATGACAAGAAAGTTCGAATTCCAAGTGAATAAAAGCGACCAATAGGCACATAAATTAACAACCAGTCACGACAGTGGTTGCTAGGAGATACAATTGCATCATTCATGGAGGATTTAAATAAGTCCATTTTATACTAAAACCTGAACTGAAGGAAGATGTTGGTTGTCTAGGAGGAGAACGAAAGCTTCACAATTAAATCAACCAGATTAAGAATACAACTAATTCAAAATCATCCACCGGATAATCGAATAAATCTGCTGAAGAAGCCGTGGCTTACACAGCGAAACGTTCAGAAAAATCTTGTTTTGATTTTCTTAACACGCTGGGATTAATTTAAATAATTTATAATAAGTGAAGGAATGTTTAAAAACAATAATTGTTTATATCAGGAAAAAAAGTGTTTTGGAAGCAAACAGTTACATTACATCAAACAACAGTTTCTGATTAATAGCTTTTATTATTTTTGCATCTTTTAACCTTTGGTGCACCTTGTATTTGAACGGTTGTGTAAAAGAGATTACCACACGAAAAATTAAAAATTTATGCAATTGATGAGAAGTGTAGTGTACTAAAAAGTCTATTCACTTGTATTTTTATGCTAAGACAAACTGGAATTATTCAATTCACAATCATCTATTACACTGGACAGTGAGCTTTTGGAAGCCTGTAGAAAATTCAATTTCGACGACTGTACTGAATCCCAAGCTGTTTATCTTACTACGCATATTGAAGATGTGATTACCAAATGGAGTCCTGGTATGTTGTGTGTAACATTTATGCTATTGGTGTTCGTTAATTTGTTAATCAAAATCACCTACTTTTCTGCGTCATTTATATGATTTTGTTGTATTGTATGTAGTACACTGCTCAAGATCCGTTTCAGTGCCGTCTGTTTGCTTTCTTTTTTGTGGAGTATCTGACATCTCTTAGGAAACATATATACACATACGTTTTATCAGTGATACTTATTAAATTTATTTTCTAGTAAAATATGCGTTTTGCTAGAGATCCTTTAAACTTCGTGATAAACTCCAGGGGCTTAATCGTTATTGAGTAGTTATCTGCGGTTCTCGCCTTGTAACCAGAAGGTCCTGGTTCGAATCCTGGTGGGTGCGTACTACTGAAGAGCCCCAAACTAGGACGAAACAGCTGTCCAGTACTCCCAGGTTTTCCAAGGTTCTTTAACTAATGTCAGCTCATGATGAAATCCTGTAACCAATCAAATCCCTACAAACCAACACTTGAATATTTTTTCTTTTGTATGATTTCATTCGTGATTTAGTTTTTCTGACTAACTTGTCTGCCAGACTTCTGGTTTTAGTCACTGAAGTATTTCAGCATGTCAGTCGTTATGGGTATGGGAACGGAGAGTCAGTCGAGGGAAATGTAATAGTTTGCCAATGTGTGTATGAATGTCGAACTAAAAATCTTTTAAATCGCATTATAGTTGAGAGTAGCCCAGTCATCCTAGCCTCATATACATTCACAATTTCATCTAATGACTCACATTTTGTTGGTACTAAATGGGTTGGAAGCAATCGGCAGGAAGCCTTGGAGCTAGGTTTCGTGCTAGTTGGCACTCACCAGTCAGCAAGGTGTATCCGCAGGGCTTCCTGCTGATTGCCTCCAACCATCTAGTGCCAACAATTCACAGTGCACCGTGATGGCGAGCCACCTAGCATAGTGGCCACATTGCAAGCCTGACTGATAGAATTCAGTATGCACCGAAGATGGGACTAGACACATTACACTAGTTACTGATTAGTGTCCAATCAAAAAATAAAGACCCAACTGCACATCAACTCTGATTTTTTCCTTCACATTCCCAGTGGAACATAGGACTTCAAGCTAGTGGCTTGAAGTTTCTGTAGCAGTGTTAATTTTTACAGGATGGGGTTGCTAGCCTCATGCCCAACCTTTCCTCTTTACCAGCATTATTTCTGGCTTAGCGAGGTAAAGGAGTGCGTCGGTGGCCGGGGATCGAACCCCGGACCATGTGCATGGTCGGCGACGTCTTAATCGCTGTGCCACTGACGCACTCTGATGATTACGTATTTAGTATTTTCACCCTAGGAAGGTGATTCGGTTGTAATGGTTAGTTCTATTTAAATTTATTTGTATTTAAATCAGCTTTCTTCTTAAAAGTTTGCAATTCTCGTTTACTTTTTTCTAGATGTGGTATTTCCCTTACTGGATATTCTGCGTTGTTTAGTTTTTTGGCCTGCGTGCAGTGATTCCATATTTGAAACAACAAATTGGCATAATTTACTTGCCATTAGTTTAGATAAACCGGAATTATCAAGTGCAAATTGTTTACTGGTATTACGCCTGTTAGCCAATTGCTTATCTGCAGATGGAGCAAGATTTTTAGATACTGTCCGCCATCAGTCTGACACTTCATCAATATCATCGGATAATATTCCAAGTGTACCAAAGTCTTTAGGTGCTGCTTTGGGAGTTATGAAGAAGTTAGCTGATCTTGTTAATGAAAATAAATTAGAGCTGGCAACACGTAAACAACACCAGGTAAGATTTTGAAACATGGATTTCGTCGTTACTTTTAGCCATTGAGCTTATATTCTTATAAATATCCAGACTCTATAAATGTGGCAAATTTCTAAACATGCTGCGTGGTTTTATAACTGAGTATACTCCAACAACAACAGGCAAAAATCAGAAACCTGAAAGAACCAACCTCCTTTACCTACCGACTTGGGAAGCATCGTTCCAACTACAAGCGGAACTGACGAGGATATCAAAGCAGCGAGGATCGGGAAAACAAGGGAAGCTTTCATTACTCTCAAGTCTGTGTGAAAGTCAACAGCACTCAGCATCAGAAATAAGATCCGGATTTTCAACTCCAATGTGAAGTCAGTCAGTGCTACTATACGGATCAGAGACTTGGCCAGCGCGTCGTAAAGAGCATCTCAAACAAATTTGAGACCTTCATTAACAGTTGTCTTCGCTTAATACTTCACTCAAGATCAGATGGTCGGCCAGAAAAGATCAGCAACAGAGTGGAATCTCTGGCAATGAGCGAACCAACACAGCAGGAACCGATTGTGGAACAAATAGGCAGAAAGAAATGGAGATGGATTGGCTGGCCATACTTTGATGAAACCATCAAGTGAGTGACATCACTAGACAAGCCATTGCCCGAGTGGAACCCGAAAGGGAAGCGGGCGGCGAGTTGGTCGTCAGTGGCAGGGTGGGGTGACTTGGAGGAGGTCATGTGAGGAGGAGATGAAAGAAAGCATGTGGGCAGACTTTGAGCCAGATGAAAACTCTAGCAGAGAACCGAACTCAATGGAGACGTGGGGCTGAAGCCCTATGTTCCTCTATGAATTAAAGAAAATAATAATAATGATACTCCTTATCTTTTGTTAAGATTTTGTTATAAAGTGATACTGGATTGTGGGTGTTCGTCTAACTCGACTAGAATGTGCCTGCAGAATACGACACAATAACCAAATTGATCAATTGAAATTGTATCTCCCACAATGAGAGGGAGACACAAAAGTCAGACTGAGGAAGTTGACGACCGGAACGACGACGACAGCAACCACAGCCGCACCCGCTTTTGTTAGTCGAAATATATGCTTTCTTATATTTTGGCAAATTCTCAGAAATTTTAACCATAAATAAATAAATCTGATTGATTGCTTGACCTTAGAAGATTGAGGCATAAATAAACGGATAAGAACTTTCCAATAAGGTTGTCATGTCAGCACATGAAAAAGTGATAATGACTTCAGGGCTAACAAAGAAGTTCGTCCATCGCAACAGATTTTAGTAGGAGTAAGGGAGAATCGGCTGATTTCATTAACAATATTGGTATTACAATGTAATACCTGTTCTGTTCGTCACGTCTTCATTGATTTAAAGTTAATTATTTCATGACTAAAGATTCCAAATTCTTCTCAGCCGTATGTTATTAGAGTCGGCACGTTGGGAACACAACTGAAGCTTGTTTCAGGATTTCATCATGAACTGACATCAGTCAGAGAACCGTTGGAAACCCTGGGAGTACTGGATAGCCAGTTGTTTCGCCCAGGTTTCAGACTCCTCATCAGTAGTCATATACTGAGGTTCGAACCCAGGACCTTCTGGTTACAAGGCTAGCTCGTATACCATTAAGCCAGTGGGACCTAGTTCCATGGTTCATGAAACTTAACTTCTGCTAATTCATGATAATAATAATATTAATCACTTTATTCCACAACAATAACAATTTACAGCATGGAATTTTCAGCGTTACTGGTATGGGGTGGCCACTAGCTAATGTCATTGCTAGCAAGTATTTGTCCTCAACTTGTATCCAGAACGTCCTGCGTTCGAACTTCAGTGGGCGCGTACTGATAAAGTCCCAAACTAAGACGAAACAGCTGTCCAGTGAATGATGTAAACTGTTAATGAACCTTCTAGTTGTGATGACTAGAGAAAGACACGTGTGACAAGAATTCTTTTCAAAACTAACACTTATCTAGTTATCTAAGAAAACAACCAAATACCTGAAGTGTGCTTTTAATTTTCTATTTTTGCCTGAGCATTGTGTAGAAACAATATACGTGATTACTAAAGTTAACCGAAATGGGTTACTGAATGAAAGCCAGTGACCGATGCTCATTCCATATTGATTTAATTGAAAAGGTCATACAGTGAAATAGTATTGTTTAGTGGATGACTTCTCAAATACAGTTTACTGTTCAACTATTATTATTATTCTTTTGAGTTCCGAGTGAAACATAAAGCTTCAACAACACATCTGCACTTTGTTGTATCTTCCTCTCTCCTCTTTAGCTGGACGCACGATAGCCTATAATCTCTCATCTCCTCTTCTCACAATCTCCTCCATGTCACCTTCGCACCGATGACCCACTCGTCGCTTCCCGTTTGGATTCCACTCTAGCGATAACCCGCATTGATCACGATGTCATGATATGGTTTCCTCAATGTCTGCCCGATTCATCTCCATTTTCTCCTACATATTTGTTGAACGATCGGCTCTTGGTTGGTTTGTTACCAGCCGTCCAGTTTCTTGTTGCAGATTCTTTCCGGCCGGCCTGCCATTTGATGTTGAGTATGGAGCCAGCTGTTGATAAAAGTCTGCAGTAGCCTGTTGGAAATCCTTTTCGTGACACGTAGTGCAAGTTACTGACCTGTATAGAAGCACTGACCGACTTGACATTGGTGCTGAAAATGCGAATCCTCTTCCTTATGCTAAGGTGGAGTTTAGAAGATTTCCAAAGTGGTTTCAGGTTGATAAAGGCATACGTATCTTGCCTTTCCGATTGTGGCTGGCTGGCTGGCTGGCTTTCACATCTTCATCCGTCACGAATTCCTGTGGTTGAAACGATGCTTCCTGGCTGGATAAGTAAAGGAGGTAACCTCTATAAAAATCTCTCCCGTTGATGGTGATTGGTGCTGGTTGTTGTTGTTGTTGTTGTTGATGTTCGTTGGTTATCTTCATCACCTCCGTTTTCTCTGTCTACCTGCACTCCTGTCTTTTCAACTTGTCTCTTCTGCCACTTTGTTGGTTTTCGCCTGCAAGTCTTCGAGTTTGTATGACATTAGACATATGTCATGGACGCGCGAAATCCAGATTTTCTAGAGTCTTCTTATCGGTCAGTGCAGCACATTCCTATCTTCTTACTCCCCACTCACAGTCTGTTGCATAATCCAGTCCACCACAGCTAAGAAGATCATCGGTGATAGTCGTGGACAGCCTTATCTCACTCCTGTATGTACTTCAAGCACCTCATTGAGTTACTCGTTGTGGATCACCTGACACGTGGCAGGCCACGTGTTGTTGAGCAAGGTTGATAAAGATTTGGGGTGCTCTTCGCCATAGTGTTGAAGTAGTTTCCAACTGACTTCTCGGTTAATGGTGTCTGTCGAAGGCCTTTTCGAAGTCGATGAAGTTGAGGTGGAGAGAGGTTTGACTGCTATTCTATGCTTTGTTCTATGATGACGATGATGCGTAGAGTTGCGATTTGATCAGCACATGATTTGCCTTTTCTGAATTCAGCCAGGTTGTTGCGATGATTCTTTTATTCTTTTCAGGATGATGCGACTTAGTGTTTTGCTTGACGTGGACAGTAGCATTTTACTGTTCAAAATCATATCAAGTGTGACTTTATAAGTCTGAATCAGAAATAGGCAGAAATAAAGAATTAAAATCGCAGTTTTAGGTGTTTGGCTTTTTTATTTGAAGCTATTCAATATCATGTTATGCGTTAATCATAGTTAGCGCTGTGAAACTGAAATTGTGGGTAAACACGAATATTATGGCATTAAATGTTTATGACACCGAAACATTCATTTAACATACTTCATGTTTTTGCTTTCCTTTTTCAAGGTTGCCTTAGCTACACTGCTGCATAATGTGTCTGTACTTATTCATCGAACAAAGACATGCTCTGTTGTATCGAATTTATTACCTCAATTACGTTTTACACCCGGTGTCTGCGTTCGAATATGTTTCAGTTTATTATCTCTTCCTGTGGACCATGGTAGTAGTGGTGTGACACAATTTCATCCTGATGCTGTAAATTGTTTATTTTTGTGTCTTGGTAATTGTTTATCATCTGTTACTGCTGAAGTGAATATGACGGATGAACAAATAAAAGCAAAACGTGTTCGTGTTGTTGCTTCTGCTGTAAGCGGTCTAAAAGGTGTCGATGACAATGTAAATACTGACACAAATGTTGATGAATTTAAAGCCTGGGAATCAGCTCGTAAAATTATATCCTATTGGGCAACTACGCCAACCGTTTGTCCTAAAGTTCGTGCTTGTGCTAGCCAAGTATTGTCAATTTTAGAGTGAACAGAAGTTTCAATTTGATGAAAAACATATCTATTTTCTTGGCAATATCACACAGTATGGATACCTTCGACATATATGGCTGATTTTGTGTGTAAATTTCCCGTTTGTCACAGTGCACTGAGTGTAGTTATTGGCTTGTTTAATTTATGTAAAGACAAAGTAAACATTTTGTGGTGGTTGATTTGCTACAAGCCGTCCTAACATTTCTGTTCTGTTTTCCATTATCTGAAGTTTTTTTTTGTATAATTGCAAATATACCATTTAATTTAGACATTACAGTTTGTTTTAAAAATATTCGTCTTCTTATCGGTATCAATTAGATTTATTGAAATATTGGAAAGAAGTTTGAGGTATTTCACTTAGTTTGTAATTCACTCTTTGTCGTTCGAATGCACTCCCCGACCTTTTGAAATGATTCGACTTATAGCAGTTAGGTTAAACAAATAGGAATGACAATCTTTATCAAGGTTTGGCTGACAACAGTTTATTTATCGAATTAGAAACCAGGATGAAGTTGTATTTTGTTGTAAATTTATGCTGACAATAGTTCCTAGGATGAGATTCAAGTTTAAGTAACACATGATAAAAATGGCTGATGATCATCATCTCGGTTTCTTCCAACACGTTACAGAGATATTTTGTAAAGTCACAACACTTGTCAGACGATATAGTCGAATACTGTCTTCACGTCAAGGAATATGATAAGTTTGTGTTCCAAAATCTGTCGATAAATGAAGGCTTAGTCAATAAATCTTTTAGGATCTGCAATCAACGTGGTTCACTCCAGTTCGTCTTTCCTTGTAGCTGTTTGGTTTTTTTCTCCTATCTACCATAAAATCGTAACTACTAGTGTGGCGTGTCTTATTGACAAGATTTATAAGTAGTATATAGATGCAGATAAATGTGTATCGTATGCAAGAATATCGAATAGCGGAGATATAGATTTAATGGATGGTCAACGGTTCCACATTGAAACTGATCATAAGCCGCTACATTGGCTGAAGATAGCGAGAGGCTGGTGTGGGAAATTGTCGCGGTGGATGTTGTACCTGCAACAGTATGACTTCACGATGTTTCACTTTCCAGGGGAAGAAAGTTTGCTGGCAGGTTTTTTATTTAGGCTGGAAGATGAAGTAGAGTTACCAGAAATCGCGTTCGGTGTACGTGTTTTGGAACAGAACCCACTAAGACTTGCCCCAGTCAAATATCGAACCTTGTCCTGAATACAGTGATATAGGTGATTACTGACGGAATAGAAGTGAATCAGCTTACGGCTAAAAGAGAGCTAACCATGCTACTCAGGCAGAAGGACTCGTTGGGATTGAGCACCTACGGAGCCTTGACTTGTAGAGAGGACGATGGAAGCTGTTTGGCGGTAATGCCTTAGTCCCTATGCCATGAAATGACATGAGAATGCCACTAGGTAGCACATACAGGGGTAGCCAGAGCAACGGACCTCTTGAGACATAGCATACACTGGCGAGGTATGAGACATATTTCACAATATGTGCTGGGGTATCTGCAGTGCCATCTGATGAAATGACGATTGACTTTGCAGTTTATTCCACTTACGGCAGTAGGTGATTACAGTCCTCAGATGTTGTGGGACCTTTCCCTCAGACATCCAGTGGCATTCAGTATCTCCCGGTGATGGCGCAACACACTATACGATGGGTAGACGCCGTTGTGATTCTGGATCAACACGTACAGGCTATGAGTGATGCAGTGGTTCGACACACAGCTAGGGACCACGGGATACCAAAGATGATACTGACAGGTTAGGGTCCTTGTTTTAAAAGTGGAGAATTCACATCCCGTTTGCAACACCTAGGTATCAAGAGGATCCGAACAGTATTATATCATTCACAGATGAATGGTCTGACAGAGCGAAACAACCATACACTGAAGGAGTGGGTGGCCTCAAGGTGGGGTGACTGGGAGACAGCTTGCATTGGTTCTACTAGCACGACATGCTTCCGTTCAGGAAACAACGAAGAAGTTACCGTTTCAGTTCATGTATGGTAGGAAATCACGATTACCGATATATAACAAGACTTGGTCCATTCACCAAGATTAGGATATGGCGAGATTTCACAAACAGAAGAAAGACTCCGCGAAGTCTGAACGGAGAGAAAAAATGGGATGCATAACTTCTGAAGTTGGCAATCAAGTAAAGTGTAGAGAAAGAAAGTACACGGCCGGATGTGGGCGAGGCTGACGGAAACAGCTTCCAAAGTGGAATGACCATACTCTGTCACCGAGAGACGTGGTCTCGTTTGCGCCATTGGAAGAAGAGACAAACAGAAATGTGTTAACACCATCCAACTCAAGAGATACAGTGTGATGAGCAAGCCGATAACAAGACACAACAGTAGTAGGTAGCACTGAGAAAGTTGAAGCAGCTCCACTCGAGACTATTTGATGTGGGTGAATGTGGCGTATGCTAATGACAAGATTTATAACACAGTATATAGATGCAGATGTATGATATACAAGAATATCGAATTGCAGGAAAATGGATTCCTACTTTATCAATTTGTATATTAGAAACACCGTTTACATGCGTAAAATATCTGTTCTAGAGGCTTGAATAGATTTCTTTACAACTGATTTTGAATAAAGCAAGAACAACAGTGGTTTGTGCAGAATAATATGGTACCGTCATTTATTTCGTTGGCTTCTCATCAGCTGCTTACAGCCTAAATAAATTATGAGGTTTACGTACAGAAACGTTTTAACATACTTGCAAATTTTACATGTTGTCAGTTGACAGAAAGTTCCACAATAAGTGAACAGTGCTCAGAAAATTGCGCTTATATAGCTTTTACACAGGCAGTTCAAGTCAAAATAAATGTATGCATACAATGGTAAAGGAGTTACGTAATAAAGACGAGAGGTGAGTAAGACGATGAGTAACTAATAAATTGGGTAACAATGTACTGAGTTCAACTCACATCATAGAAACAAGAGACAAGCAAAATTACAGATTGTATAAAAAAAGACCGATTCATAGTGCTTGACTTCTAACTAGTTAGTCGGTGATTCGTTCGTTCTTCTGTTCACATACTGATATTTTGGAAGACAGATAGGGTCATTACTGCTTACATAGATGATATGTCTGATTCATTGTTTAATGGGTAAATTTGCATCTGGTAGGTGGTTATTATAAAACAAGAGCTGGAACTGTGTAAAAACAAGTTTCAGATTTATGAAATCACATTTGATATTATTTTGTACAGTAAAGTGTATTCGAGAAGTTATCCACTAAAGAATACTGTTTCACTGTTTGACCTTTTCTTTAAATCAATATGAAATAAGTGTCGGTCACTGACTGTCATTCAGTAACCCATTTCGGTTAACTCTGGCTATTACGTATGCTGTTTGTTGGCTGTGTTTAGGCAATAATAGTAACAATGACAACTTTTGTTCTTCATCTGATTCAATGAAATGACCAATAACTTTAGAGTGAATAGTTATGAAGTGTGAGAATTATTCACTAGTCATGTACTGTCTGCATTAACTGAGATACTAGGCAGCGTCTGGGAATCAGAAGAAGTCCCGTCGGGTTAGTGTAAGTCACTGATTATCCCCATATACAAGAAGGGAGACAAGTCTTCCTGTGATTATCACAGGGAGATTAGCTTGACTAATATGGTATCTGAAGTTCTAGGCTTAATAATGATGCGTAGACTAAGTGGTGCTCGGGAGGCACAAACACGAGAGAACCAGGCAGGCTTTAGACCAGGAAGAGGGTGTATTGATCATATCTTCACCCTCCGACAGATTCTAGAACATAGGAATTCCTACCGGCGTCCAACAGTCATTATATTTCTTGACTTAAAGGCGGAATTCGATTCTGTCGACCGAGAAGTTCTCTGGAGATGATTGGCTGTAAAGGGAATTCCGAGAAAATATATTGCACTGATTAAGGCACTCTACTCGTACTCATACAGCCAGGTGAGGGATTACGGCATCCGTCAAGGATGCCCATTATCCCCATTTCTATTCAACTTCATCACAGATGTGTTGATGGACTTAACCCTAAGTGACTTCAGCGACTCAGGGATTGACTTGCTACCAGGGAATAATCTCGTTGACTTGGAATATGCAGACGATATAGTCCTTCTAGGCGAAGACGCTGACGAAATGCAGAGTCTTCTAAACACCTTGAACTGCAATCTACGAATGTTTGGTATGCGATTCGCTCCCGCCAAATGCAAGATGATGTTACAGGACTGGACTACATCGACGCCTAGTTTAAAAATAGGAAGTGAAGTGGTAGAGCACGTTGACCGCTTCACTTATTTGGAAAGTACCATCTCCGACGAAATCTCAGCACGAATACAGGGGGCTAGTTTCGCATATGCCAGTTTACGCCGTCTCTGGCTTAGTAGACGTGATATCCGGCTGGCTATCGACCAAAGGGCGGGTGTACTGCTCATCATTCCGCTCCATCCTCCTTTATGGCTGGCTGTGAAACATGGCCACTGAGAATGGAAGACATGAAAAGATTAGCTGTCTTTGATCATAGGTGCCTGCGTTCTATCTCCCGTGTAAAGTGGAATAATACGGTGAGCAATATTGAGATTAGGCGTCTAGTGACAGGTAAGGAGGAGAAATCAATCGACGAGGCTGTGAAATCACATAGATTGAGATGGTTAGGACATGCGCTACGTATGCCCAGTCATCGCCTTCCTTGACAGGCAATGTTAGTTGACATAGGATTGGTCAGGCTGGAAAAGAGTTAGCGGCGTGAAACCAAAACATGGCACCAGTCAGTGAAATCCACAACAGTTAGTCTAAGCCAGCCACGTAGGAAGGTGTAGACTTCCTGACCGGTTGGGGTCCTCGGGACGGTAAAAACCAGTAGTTGGAAACAATTGGTGACATGGCACAAAATCGTTCTCAGTGGCCGACGGCAGATGCATCCACTCCTTGTGACTTATGATCTCCAATGAAACTGTTTTGTTCTTCGTTATTACTCTTCCTTTGTCTCACAC